ATAAGTGATTTTTTTTGTAATGCAATTTTTTTTAATGTTTTTCATCATTTTGTGAAAGATTGGAAATTATTTTGCCCATTATTAAATATTTTTATAATTTTTCATCTTTTTTCAAAACTTTCAAAAATATCCTTGGTACAAATCGATTTTTTAAAATTCATTTTTTTAACTAATTTTCAACTTCATTTAAATGTGCTTTATTTAATCATATTTTAAATATATTTTAAATATTTTATTATTATTATTTTTTAACATTTTTTTTTAACCGCCTGGCACTTACCTGGTCACGGTGATTTTACCGGTTAATACCGAGTAACCGCTTCCGACCTTATGTCAGGTTAACCATTTTGATTCGATTTTTCGTGCGCTAAACACACATGCACTTAGGAAAATGGACGTGAACAAAAGGGCACCGCCACGAGGAAATTTCCACCCCACTTGTATTTAGCCCTATATTTTTTGCACTTTGCACATTTTGAGGTCATTTTATATTGGTAGTGATGGACAAGACTCCTGGGGCTGTATCCTATTAAGGGATTTTGTAACGCCCCTCGTGATATGGAAAGATTCGCAGTTCTATAACCAATTAAACTACATTGAACTGATTTGAATGAGAGAAATAAAAAAGGAGAGAAATGATTGAAGCCTAGAAACTTTTCGATATATTATCTTTGACATGATAGACTGTATTGGAATCCCAGCCAAATAACTCGCCAACACTTTGTCCACAAAATATGTATAAATATTAATACAAGAATTTAAAAATATATGGAAATTAATAATTCAGCAAAGGGGAAGGTTTGTATAAGGTTCCTTTTTTATACTGTACAAGTAAGGTGCACCTCTAAGATTTGTTTGGATATGTAATTCCAGTATCGGAAAACATATGATGCTTAAAATCTATTTTTCATCTCTAGTTATAAAATTAAAAAATTCAAAAGTGGTACAGAACAAGCAGATCTATAAACGCTCGATAATCTTGAAAATAAACGATTGAGATAACTTGTTACAAGATATACTATTTTTTGGATTTGAAATTCATTTTTTATTATCATATCCAAACATCTCGAGATCAAGATGATCGATTGGAAGGTTTTCCAACATCGAAACACTCCCTTCTACGTAATTTTGAGTTGCACCTTACTCCAGTAGTATAATAAATTTTTTCCTTCAGTAAGATAAAAATTAGATTACATTTTTCAAATCTAATGATTGGAAATTAAGATTTTGGAAAGGGAACTATGAGAAATTGTGAGGCTTACATGCTTGAGAACAAGCTATTGGATAGTGAATGGTGGGTCCCACATTCAGCAATTTGGGGCCTGCGGATCACTCTCCTTGCAGAGAATTCAAATTTAATATGTTTAATTAATAGAGACAACAATGTACCTGGATCATGATTTCTCCTTAATGGCTAAGTGGGGTAGTTGGAGTTTGAAACTCGATGTGTGAACATTTGGTGACCCTACTCGGGCAATCATCTATCTCTAACCCATGAATTTTCAGACAAATAAAATAGGAATAAGAATCCCAAATTATTTGAGGTGTCATGGAAATGAAAAGAGACAATATTAATAACCCGGGTCTTGTCACTTCATATAGCTAGCTTGAAGAGAGAGAGAGGAAATAGTAATAGCTTGTCTCTATGTTTTAACCAGCTTGGAGAGAGAGAGAGAGAACGTTCAAACCTGCAGTTTGCAAGCTTTTTAGTACTTCCATGGAGGGTGAAAAAGAGAAAGATTCCATAATGAGGGGGTTTCCCCAAAAAAAAGGGCCAATAGTTCAGTGGGGAAAAGGTTTCTTGCCCATAATTGGATTCAGGATGTCATGTTGTAGTTTCTTGCCACCCTAATCTTAAAACTCATTTCTGGAAAAAAATTATAGGAAAGTTCTTTCCCACGAGCCTATCTTGTTGTTTCATGGAAAAGCGTTGGTCACCGTAAGACATAGGAAAGCGTGTTCACACTTTTACAAAGCATACTGTTGATGGTTCAAGCAGCAACATATTAAGTTTTATATCTTGTGGATTACAATATATTGAGTTTTTATTTTGTTACATTGCAGATTTGTTTTTTAAAATATAAAAATTGTAACTTTATAAATATTCGGTAAACTAGAGTAATCCTTATAAATGAGTTACTGATTTAACCTTTGTGAACGTAAACACAATTTCCAAACCAAATACATTGCTGGTTGATCTTTTTGCTCTCTTCCTCTCTTGTCATTGTTTCTCTTATTGCAAATTCTGCACATACAATGCATTAGCAACGACTCTTTAGGTGGTTGTTACCCGGGCTTCTGTTGCGACTTGAAGCTCTATCCAGGCGTACGTTGTCTGGAAGGAGTTAAGGTCCGCTGTCTGGAGGGAATTTTCCGACGAAACAAACGTCACCTTAAAGTTGGTTGGAGAGAGGAGTCCAGTACAAAAGCTGGGGAGGGAAAGGGGCATGCGTTGGAAAGGAGTCATATTAAAAGTTGAGAAGAAAAAGCCACCAATCTCTCTTTACCGTTTCTCATTGTAGTCCCTACCCAAAAAGATTGCCCAAAATTATTGACGCTATCCCACAATATCACCTCCGCGACAAAAATAAATCATATACGGATTGGCAATGGGATGGACCTAGGCTGAGCCAGGCCTGGCCCGGCCATGACTGGGCCAAAAAGGCCTTGGCGGAAGCCTGGCCCAAATAGAACAAAGAAATTTAAAAAAGAAAAAAGAAAAAAAAAGGTTGGGCAGGGACGAACCGGACTTGCCCTCTCCGTTACCTTCCCAGGCCTTACCCAAAGGCTGTGATTGCCCAGCCCCTCAGGCCACACTTTTTGGCCTGGTCAGTCCCTTGGGCGGCATTTTGGGGCACAAGACCGAGCTTTTTTAAGGCTGTGCTGGGCCGGGCCTCCCAACCCATTGCTACCCTTGGATAAATACATCTCCTTTCCAAATTTATCCACCCTTACATACATACATCTCCTTTCCAAATTTATTTGAGGATGTGAAATGGCCATAAATATCTCGGCCTCATATTATTGAAAATTAACCAGCATATCCTTTTTTTTATTTTTTTTTCTTTGAAACTAATCAAGATGCCCTTGAACTCTTTGAAAGAGCGATGTCCAAAATCAACGCATGCTATACGTGCGCTGTGCATTATGTGTAGGCTACTCAAGATATTGCTTACCCATCCACCACTTATTCACATGAAGAATGGCGGAGATGAAAGTTTGGATATCCATGTCCTCATCATGGTCATTGGAAAATATATCTCTGCTTTCTGCCGTGAAAATGATGGTGGATGTTTGTATTTTGCACACTATTTGCATTCGTTAGGTATGCCTATACTTTACTCCTTGAATGTAATATTTCAAGAAAAATAGGAAATTTATCAAAATACCCTTAACTTATTAACTATTTAACATTTTATTATTCCTCAACTATTCCAACTCTTGAAGATGTGTATTTGGATGGGTTTTTCAATTAAATTTAAAAAAATGGTTAAAATGTCAATAGTTGGCAAGTGAGGTGTATTTTGATTAATTTCTCCAAAAAAGATTATTTCAAAAAAATAAAGAAAAAATTCAACCCTAATAACGTTTGCATGGTGATCCGATTGACTAAAATAATCCTCCTGCACCTGCCCTTGAGCCACATAACACACAGGTTGGGAAAATTCAAGGCAGGTCTTGATATTTCTTAATATGGAAGGGGTAGTTTGGCTATCCAAACAGCTAAATTGTGAATTCAATTAAGTATCCTCCAAAAATATGGTGTAGTTGAAGATTCCTTTGGACCAAGGAGTGATGGGTGTTTGTTTGTTTGCCATAAAGGGAGCCCCCACTAAGAGGTTAATGGAGTTCCAACTGTTATTGAGTGCATATCTGAGGAGGAAATCACTGCCATTTGTAAGCGTTTTGAAGTCCCAACTGACACTCATGTCCCCCAAATTTTCTTATTTCTAAATGGTATTGTAAATAACAAAATTATCATAAAGTTCATGAATTCTTGGATGATAAAATTTAGAGATTGTACCCTTGGAAATTATAAATTCTTAGGACCTAAAATTTTTAAGAATTTATTTGAAATTACAAACACCGAAGACTCCTTTCTCCTTTGAAAATGTGAAAAGTCTCTAATGATGATGATAATATAGTTTTCCTTTTCTGTATATCTTTAAGATTTCAAATATATATATATATATATATATATATATATTCCTTCTTTTGTCAAGACATAAGAAAATAGAATACCTCATTTTCATAAGGTTGCAACCTTAAAATGTAGAATTATGGATGCATCTAAGAAATCCATCTGAGAATGTTGTTTTAATATTGAAAAATCCTCTAATTGATCATCTTGACATAGAGATGTATGATTATGACAAAACAAGAAGATTTTGAGTCCTGGAAATAGTGCATCTTGCAACACATTATCTAGACCGTCAATTTTCAAGATTTTCATATGTTTATAGATCTACTTGATGTGAACCATTTTTGAAGTTTAAAATTTTATAATTAGATAGGAAAATAGATTTCCAGATAATCCTAATAATTTCTTACACCGAAATTACATGTTATGATAAACTTTGGAGGAGCACCTTAATTGGATTATTTAAGGTTGCAACCTTATAGAAACCGCACCCTTTCATAAAGCCCCGGAAATTTTCCAACCTTGAAAAGAAACCATAAAGTTGGTTACCTTCATTTCTTCTCCTTTTCTTCTTCAAATAAATAATTATCTTTTCTCTAATAATGGAAACATAGCTTTCCATTCTGACCTCGATGCTGATGCTCATAGAGGGAGGAAGACCCACCAAAAATTAGGGCATGAATTACAACATTTTGAAGAGAAAGAAAGAAAAGTTGCAGATAAGCATGAGTTAGTGGATCCGCAGACAAATACGAAAGCATGAATATTTTAGTCCATAGTGTTGTCATGAAAATATTAAATAGAAACAAAATTCAAAGGAAAAAGGTGACATATCCTCACCAGGTCTTTTCTGCACTTCTCATCTCGCCAAGTATTTATACCCACTCATTAATTTCCAATTCCTTCACCTGCTAAGGGTCGGAGCTCCACCATTGGAGCACCTCTCAGTGCTAAAAATGGGAGATTTTTTATACAGAGGTTTTTCCCTGTATACTAAAAGTTAGCAGGCATTTTGGAGTGAGGGTTGTAACCCTCCACCAAACTTATCTGTTTGTGTATGTATATAGGGCCGCAGTTTTCTTGGTGAAAGGAAAACATCTGACAAATTTGGCAGAGCTCGGCCGAAGACATACCTGAATCGGCAAGTCACAAAACGGCAATGGGAACTCTTATATGGGTCTCTCTGGTTTCTCTTTTTTTCCTCGTTTCTTGGTTTCTTGTTATTTTAGTGTGGAAGAAAAAAGCTCATGACTCAAATATATAGATGGAGTTTGATGGTAGATGGATTCTCCCTTTTTTTCTCCATTTTTTTTTAAAATAATCAGCCTTAATATTTTTTAAGGCAGATCCTCATATTGGATGGGGTAGAGTTGAAGTACTTGTGTGTAGGAGTATGATAATAGATGAGGATCAATTTGCTTGCTCAACCCTTATAATACAGGTCTACTGTTAGTGAAATTGAGTTCCTAAATCTATGCATTAGGGTTATTTGCATGCTGTCATGGTGTATGTGTGTGTGGCTTTGTTGTGTGTGTATGTGTGAGAGAGAGAGACTGTTAATGTTTCTTTTCTACTTACAAGGCATCCATCACTCATCTTATTAGTATAATTAGGTTATAGAATACATGCATTTGGTTATTTCTTGCTTAGAGAGAGAAAGGGAGTAAAAAGAAGAAAGATTAGTGTTTTTTCCATGCATTAGATTTCTTAGTCTTAATGTTGTTCTTGGTCTCTAGGTTTATACAATTAGATTACTTGTAATCACATGCTGGCACATAAAGAAGAAAGAAAGAAATATGAAAGAGCCTAAGGCATAGGTGTCAGGTAGTGGGGCACCACAACATGACCTCCTTAACTCCGTTCCTTTCAGATCCCAAGTTCCTTTCAGATCCCAAGTTAAAGAAAGAGAGAAGATATCCTTGTTCCAGTTACAACACTCCTTTCGATTCCTACCGCGTCCCAAATTAACATCAAGAAAGAGTAAGAGAGTTTAACTTTTTCTCAGTCATAAGAATCCTTAACACTGTAGATGAATTTCTAGATTCATACATAAGATTATTCTTACACTAATGCATTGCTCTAAGCACACACACATGTTGCAGAGAGATAAAGTCTCTCTCTATTGTTCGGGGCAATGTTGATTCATGTATCCATTATATTTGATCGTTAGAAGACCAGAGATTTGGGTCGTTAAGTTTCTCAAGTATTTTAAGGTATTTGTATCTCTATCATGGGCTCCATTTCAGATTAAACAAGTAACATTGTTAGTTTCGAAGGAATTGGTTTGGATATGCTCTTAAATGTCAAAATACGAAGGGGTTTACACAAGATGTAGGCCTAAAATTATCAAAGGTTAAACTCCACCGGAAGATGCAATCTTGGTGCTGAAAACTTGAAAATGACTTGAAAATCTATTCTAGCCCTTAATTATAAAATTTGAAGTTCCAAAAAGGATGAAGATCAAGCAGATCTAAAAAATCTTGAAAATATTAAAAATATATAATCCCTGTTATATGTCACAAGATGTACTATTTTGACTTGGAATCCTTTTTTTTTGCCATATCTATATATTTCAAGGTCAAGATGATCAATTGAAGGTTTTTCAAGTAAAACCAACATTTGGAGTAAATTTCTGAAGTGCAACTTACTTCAAAGGTTGACTCCTTATGTAAACTTTATCCGGTACACACAAGAAAGGAGTACATGTTACATGTAGCATACATGTATCAACAATGGACAAAAATACTTATTGTTTATTATTCGTGAATTGCATGTAGTATATTATGCAAAAATAATGAGGAGCACATATTCATAGGGTCTGTGATTATCACTACTGTTTGCATATTATGCAAAAATGATAAGGAGACTAATGAGTACAAATTCATACATTACCCTTTACATCTTGGGCACAAACTGAGCCTGCATTTAGAAATACTGCCAAAGAGAAACTTGAAAGAATGGCATCCACCTGCATTCACCTTCTTTTTTAAGAAGCCTAGAACAATAAGAATAGCACAGTGGCATCCACCTCCGGAATTTTGGATCAAACTTAATTTTGATGGCAGTGTGAGACTGGAGGAATAAATAACGGCATACGGAGGTCTTTTAAGGGTCTCTAATGGGACTATTTTTTGGACTCACAGGGTATGCTTGCACTACTGTGGTGTTAATAAAGTGGCGTTGTGGGCCGTAAAATTTGGGGTCATCAAATCGGACCGGAGCATTACTAGGCTAATTGTGGAAGGAAACTCAGCGAATGTTATAAATTGGTGTAAGACCCTGGAAATTGGTGTAAGACCCTGGGATAAACTCCATGGGCATGGACTAATATTATGGATGAGGTCGTTAATGGCCTGTTTGGAAGGGAAGTTATCTTCAAGCACATTCCATAGGGAGCGTAATGAAGAGATGGATAAGTTAATTATGGAGGTGGCAGATGCGCATTTCACCCACTGAGTTTTCTTGCCTGGGTTGCAGCCTGGTTCTTGTCTTTCGTTTGGTTATACCTGTCTTTTTATTTTTTCATCTATTTTTCTTTTTTGTTGTTCATTTATCTTTGTAAACTTTTTTCATTCTCTCAATAAAATCTCGTTAACATTCCAAAAAAAAAAAAAGAGAACAAAATGTTGGTGATCACGACAGTGGTGGTGAGATGGAGAGTGAAGTGAGAGAGAGTGATTATATGATCAGGACATTGGTGATGATAAAGAGAGAGAGTCATGATCCTGACAAAGTTGATGAGAGGAAAAGCTATATCTAGTTTGGCATGCCATTTGATAATCACTTCAAAATTTGAGGTTCTGAAGGGGTGAGAAAGTCGTATTTCCACCACTAAAATTTCAGGCAAGTAATTCTCACAATGGCGTCACCAAAACCATCTTATTGGAAAGAGGGTTGATTACATAAGCCAGGTGTTAAAACCACGTACAGCTATATCCAAATTCCTTACGCCGTGGAGATCCTTTGGGTAACTAATTTTGGTCGAATATATTTATGATATATGGGGGGAAATCAGTTTTTATTTTATGGAGATCTTGTATCATGAATAAAATAATAGACACGATATAATAGCCTTTCAATCGTGGATATAGGTCTCAGAGACCGAACCAACCATGCAAACAATGGTTTTTTCTTCCTCTTCTTCTATCTTTGACTCTTCTTCTTTATTTCTAGTATCCTTTTATAAATTCTTCAACATAGGATCATAGCGCTGATCCAATTGCCTTCAAGCTCTTTCTTCTACAAAGTAGTACGGTGGCTGTCTTGTTGTGCTTAAGTTCATAAAAAAGCATGTTGTCCATAATCTTCATCCACGGTTGTTGTCAATTCTTCTTGCAACTAGGTGCATCAAAGAAACTTTTATTCACAAATCTTGTTGTCCAATTTTCTTTGCCTGAAATTATGTAATCTCTAAGCCCCTTTTCTTTTATATGGGGAATCAAAATTTCAGTTCAAACATTGTAGTACATGAGGGCAATAACCTAAATCTGAAAATTACTCCCATACTTCTTAATGAAACCAATTATAGGTCTAGATATGTAACCATGTATCTCAGCAGCAAATGTAGGTTTTGTTTTGTGAATGAAAAGAAACCTGCATCAAAACCTGAAGATCCTATTTATGAAGAGTGGGAGGGAAACCTCGTCAGGTCGTGGCTAATAAACTCAATGGAACCACGAGTTGATGAAGGGATGTATTTCCACCTTACTCCTGAAGAATTGTGGAAATCTCTTAAAGAGATTTGCGGAAAAAAACTAATGCAGTTAGGATTTTCTAACTCAAACAAGATATATGTCAATTCAAATAGTAAGGAAAATCATTTAGTAAATACATTGGAATGCTTGGAGGCACGTGGGGTATGTTATCCTAGTACACTTCTATAATTATAGATACAAATAGCAAAACAAGAGACGTCGAATAAGATAAAACCTTTGCTATGTTGGTAGGCCTTGCTCCTGGGTAAGAAGCCATTAAAGCCAAATCCTAATGGGTTCTGAATTTTCTTCCTATACTTTTGCATGCACCATTGAAAAGGAGGATCTCAATGACAATATTAAAAAATCAACATTTCTTATTGAATATAAAAAAACTGAAAAAATTAACCCTATGAATTGAAAGGTGGACTATGTGATAGGGCACATCAATATCGATTAAAACGCTTTCTATATATATTGCTACCACTCTCACTTGCTTGCCATTAAAATAATATTGCATTCATAACATAGATACAAAAATTACACAAAAGATGCAATTAACTCTTAAGAGAATAAAACAAGAAATTACCGTATACCTTGCCTTAGGTTACCCCTAATGACTTCGTACATGTCACACTGGGTCTCCTCCTAATGGCGTATGAGATCTAGAATCAAGAACTTGTCTCAAAACTTGGGAAGCCTAAGCAAAACCAATAGAGAGCATGGCATAAACTAGATCAAGGCTCAACAAATGAATATAAGGCCAAGACGTAAGGCTAGACTTTTGTGGACTGGGTGTGCCACTCCTAAGAGAGAGAAGAAGACAGAGATCAGAGAGAGGTGTGCCACCCTTTTGGCTTAGTGTGTGTGTGTGAGAGAGAGAGAGAGAGAGAGAGAGAGAGAGAGAGAGAGAGAGAGAGTAGTGTAGTTACGTAGTAGTAGAGTAGTACGTACGTTACCGTACGTACGTTAGTTTATAATAACTAAGTAACGGTACGTTAGGTTTACGTAGGTAGGTTTAGGTTTCGT